GGGAGACTCAAAGATGCTCCTGGCTCCTGGCTTCAGAACTGCTCGGTTCTAGCCATTGCAGCCAACTGGGGAGTGAACCAGTGGATGCCAAGATCTTTCTCTTGGAGTCTTTGCTTCTCTCTATAAATCTGCCTTTCCAATAAAAATAAAATAAATCTGTTAAAAAAAAAAAAGAGAAAGCAATGTGGAAAATAATTCATAATATCACCCAAAGGAAACCATCAAATATCAATCTTCAACAAATGGTCCAAAAATATGGAAATAAGTAGTAAACAAACCATCGTGGCACCTCTAAACCAAAGGTCATTTTCAAAGATCATGGAGAAAAAAATACTATTATTTTTAGAGCAAAGACAACGCACTTGGTGTAGTGGACATCCAAGATAGCAAGGAATTCTCTCAAAAAGTCTTCCAGTCTACGTAACACAGACATGTAAAAGAAAAAAAAAAATTCTTTTTCCCCTAGATCAAGCAGTCTATGTTTTTATTAAATCCTTTCCTAGGAAGTTAAAAAAGAAAAGCTTCAACTGTCCTCTACCTTGCACGGATAACGCTTTGTGTCTGATTTAAACAGCTCAATCACCAAGCGTGAGTGGCAAATGCCCTGCGGAATGACGGGAGTGGGAGGGCAAGGAGCAGCCCTCGCTTCTCTCAAAGCCATCACCAGCAACAGCAAGGGCATAAAAACCCATCTCTGCATGCTAAGGAGCAGTGTCATATCATCAAGGAGATAATCAAGGAATACAAAAAGGACATGAGATTAATCAATGTTTGCACAGTTCCGGATGACAAATACATGGTCCACGGCAGGCAAAGTGGCTGCATAAAATATGGTCCTTTAGGGGGAGGCAAACGTCCCACAATTGCTTTGCTGCGCAAATGCAAGAGCTTTCTCTGGTCCCTGCTATTTGGTAAGTGCTGTAAGAGTAGCTAATACCTTGTGTTGTCACGTGCGAACAACATCTTCGCAAGAGCGCACTTCATTTGGAAGCGCTAATTAGGCTGAATGAGAAGCAGCGCTCCTAAAGTTTGAGTGTGGGGATCACCACAAATGTTCATTTCACAAATATACTGATGATCTGAAATCGACGCTTGCATTTCCATTGAAAGATTCATTTTTTTGAAAGCAATGACAGAGACAGAGAGAGAGAGAGAGACATATTTAGAGAGATCTTTGACTTATTGGTTCACTGCCCAGATGGTCCCAACACAGCCAGACTGGGAGCATGTGGAAACTAAGAGCCAGGGACTCCATCTGGGTTTCCCAAAGGCATGGCAAAAGCCCAGTTACGTGGAACATCTGCTTTTTCCCAGGCACATGAGCAGGCAGCTGGGTCAGCTGGTACTCGAAGTGGCACCTGACACGGGATGCCAGTGCTGCGAGCAGAGGCTTAACCCATTGCAGCACAATGCCAGCCTTTGCTGAAATTCAGCTATCTTCGCCACCCCCTGCCCTCTGCATGTAATACTTGTGTCTTGCTCACAGGTCCAATGTAAATCATTGGTCAGTTGGGCAGCACGGTGATACAGGCATATCCTGCAATATTACTTCATGATACTGAACTCACTGTTAAACATCGTAAGAACGATGTCAACATTGATCAGACTCCATAAATAAATACTCAGAGAATGAAAGGCCTATTATGAATTAACAGCATAGGGCCAAAAGGCTAATATTTTATACAAATAAAAGTGTTTCTAAAGATAAATAAGACGGACCCGGCGGCGTGGCCTAGCGGCTAAAGTCCTCGCCTTGAACACGCCGGGATCCCATATGAGCGCCGGTTCTAATCCTGGCAGCTCCACTTCCCATCCAGCTCCCTGCTTGTGGCCTGGGAAAGCAGTCGAGGACGGCCCAAAGCCTTGGGACCCTGCACCCACGGGGGAGACCCGGAAGAAGTTCCTGGTTCCTGGCTTCGGATCGGCATAGCATCGGCCGTTGCGCTCACTTGGGGAGTGAATCATCAGGCAGAGGATCTTCCTCTCTGTCTCTCCTCCTCTCTGTCTCTCCTCCTCTCTGTCTCTCCTCCTCTCTGTCTCTCCTCGTCTCTGTATATCTGACTTTGCAATAAATAAATAAATCTTTTTTAAAAAAGATAAATAAGACCAGACAAAAAATGAGATGTATCCATTCCACGAACAAGCACAGTAAGACATAGATCACAGCTTCTGAAAAACAAATCTATGTGCAAAAAAAAAAGTTCCTAAATCCAATAATAAAAAGAAATGTGCACAAACAAGCCTTTTTACAAGCTATCCAACAACATCCGGTATTCCTGAGGACTCGTGCATGCACTGCGTCAGCGAACACTTCATTTACACACACACCTAGACCCAAGCTCCTTGTCTGGGCATTGATTCCAAAGTCGCAATGACACAGATGCTGCTGCGCTTAAGTATAACATTGAAAAACAGGAAATCCTCTCATACTTCAAACCGGCTCAATGATTATGGGGTGACCCACAGTAACAAAAAGAGCTCATCGGGCCCGGATCGTGGCGCAGCGGTTAAGGTCCTCGCCTTGCACGCCCGGGATCCCATATGGGCGCCGGTTCTAATCCCGGCGGCCCCGCTTCCCATCCAGCTCCCTGCCTGTGGCCCGGGAAAGCAGTTGAGGATGGACGGCCCAAAGCTTTGGGAACCTGCACCCGCGTGGGAGCATAGCATCAGCCATTGCGCTCACTTGGGGAGTGAATCATTGGATGGAAGATCTTCCTCTCTGTCTCTCCTCCTCTCTGTATATCTGACTTTGTAATAAAAAAAAAAATAAATCTTTTAAAAAAAGTTTGCCTTTTAAATAAATAAATAAATAAAAAGAAATGTATGACAGAAGCCACACATGAAATATTAGTGGTGGTCATCCATCCATAATGAAAGCTTTTGATGTGTTTCCCATCATTTTGATCATTAATATTCTAAAAAAGATTCTTGGTTTCTTTTAAGTTTGTGTAGAGAAAAAAAAAATTCCAAGCGCCTTGTGTTGCCATGGGGAATGAAAAAATAAAGTGCCCCAAATAGAAAATAAATCCAAAACCAAACATAATAATGTGGACTTTTCTATTTATTGTGCCCACTTAGAGGGGTTTTTTTTAAAGAAGTTTTAACTTCCAAAAAGTAACTCTAATTTTACCATTCTAAAAATTCCATAACAACTTGTTCTGGAATTTTGTTGTTGTTCCCAGTATAGCAGAACCTTATTTGCCTAGGAAACTTTATTTTACACTTGTCTTAGAACGGAGAATGGACGATCATTCAATTTCCTTTGACTTTATTTAAGCAATGCCCTCTCCTCCTCATATTATTTGTAAATAGTATGCACGGAGCCATTATTCCAAAAGAAGGCAAATGCAATGGCACACTTCCAGGAAGTGGATAAAACCCAGTTTTCAATCATTCCTTATTTGTCTCAGAGAACTGGTACTAGCTATAAAGAAGGGTGTGGCTATTAGAATTTCAACACACTTCGTCTTATCTGATGTTCTCTGATGTGCCTGGAGTGCGGTGTGCCCCCGTCTGCCGGAAGTCTCCATCCTGTTGGCCAGCATACTTAGGCGTGCGTGTACACACACACACACACACACACAGATGCTTCTCATGAGAATGAATGCTGTGGAGAGCAGCGGGACGGAGCTCATGACGTCATCACCAAACATTCCATCGGTTCAGCAGATCGGAAAGCCGGCAAGCAACTCCTGTCCTGCTCCCCAAATTTAAAAGTGACCCTGGAATCAGAGGCCAACTTCCAGCTCGGTTATTTTCCTCCCAAGGGATTAATCAGAATGAAAGTAAAACGACACGCCTCTATTCTCTATGTTTAAAATGTAACTCTTGCTCAATAAGGAAATGGATAAACTGTGGCAAATCCTTTCAAAAGAAGATCATTTAGCGATAAAAGGAAAGGATCTTCTACACGACAAAAAAGACACAGAGGGACCTGCAGCAACTATAGAGACTGTAAAAAGGTTCCCAGCAGAGAGGGAGAGAGGAGCGAACAAGACAGTCCAGAGAATCTTAGCTCAGTAAAAATATATGCTGCGGGCCCGGCACTGTAGTCTAGTGGCTAAAGTCCTTGTCTTGCATGCATGGGATCCCATATGGACCCTGGTTCTAATCCCAGCCGCCCCACTTTCCATCCATCTCCCAGCTTGTGATGGTCCAAAGCCTTGGGACGGCGTCCGGGGACTTGGAGGAAGCTCCTGGCTCCTGGCTTCGGATCAGCTCAGCTTCAGCTGTTGCAGCCACTTGGGGAGTGAATCAGCAGACAGAAGATCTTCCTCTCTGTCTCTCCTCCTTTCTGTATATCTGGCTTTCCAATCAAATTAAAATAAATAATTCTTTAAAAATATATAATACATATGCTGCCGGAGATCATGACAAATGTGTGTCATCGTGCATTTGTTAAAAATCCCCCAAACTCATTCACACACACAAAAAACCACTCAGATAAATGATATGAGATACAATTAATAGTAAAGACTGTATCAGCATTGGCTCATCACTTGTAACAATTGTGACTTCCTAAACAAGGTGCTAAAATAGGAGTAAATGCTGGAAGGCAGCGGGGAAGGGGGCAGCTCTGTGTACTTTCTGTTCACACTTTCTATAAACACAAAACTCCCCCAAAAAAACTGTTCATAAAAAATTAACAACATGGGCCCGGCACCGTGGCCTAGCAGCTAAAGTCCTCGCCTTGAACACACCGGGATCCCATATGGGCGCCAGTTCTAATCCCAGCAGCTCCACTTCCCATCCAGCTCCCTGCTTGTGGCCTGGGAAAGCAGTCCAGGACGGCACAAAGCTTTGGGAACCTGCACCCATGTGGGATACCCGGAAGAAGTTCCTGGTTCCTGGCTTCGGATTGGCATAGCATTGCGCTCACTTGGGGAGTGAATCATCGGATGGAAGATCTTCCTCTCTGTCTCTCCTCCTCTCTGTATCTCTGACTTTCCAATAAATGAATAAATCTTTAAAAAAAAAAAAAAAGGGAAAAGTTAACTCACTTCCCATTCACGATGAACCACTCCCGAACGTAAGTCTGCACACAGTCCCTGACGTGAGGGTCCAGTTCAACCCTAAGGAGGAGGAAAACCAAACAAAAATGTATTAATAGTAATGAAACAATCCTTGTCACACCCAGAAGCCTCCTCCCCCCGGGGCGGGGGGGAGCTTCAAGTTCATACCGAAGAGAATGTTCCAGAACTCTCAGCCCTCTTCCCAAGCATGCCTGAGGCAGTAACATTTTTTTTACTTTCGTGAGACAAACATGTTCGCATTTAATGCTTTGTAGATTTTATTATAGAGAATCCTGTTCAACCAGACCCATCTCGGAGTGCCTGCAGGCATTCTGACACAAGAGGGGCAGAAAGAGCTGTCATCCATCACAAGGCAAGAATACAAAGTATAAACACCTACTCCTCGCAGAAGTAATTTGGGCATACTTTTGGCTCAGGGGTAACAGTGTTTGCACATGCGCCAGGGAGAACAGTTGTCTTAAAGAGTTTGAGGATTCCCCAGCCGGTGGCTTTGGTTGGCAATAACTCACCCCGGGGTACCTGCTTAAGGAGTGTGTGCCTGTGTGAGAGATGCTGTCTGTTTAAGTGACAGTCTTGACATAACTCTATCCACCTGTGGATTGGCTGAAAGTATCTGATGTAAAAGTTAGACACGGGGGTCTCTGGGCCCTGACCGCCCAAAGCTCAGCTTTATCTCATGATTTTTTGAGCCCATCACTCAACGACTGTCTGCCTTCATGATGATAATGGTAGCTTCTTCTGCGTTAGCTGTAGAAAAGCTTTTATGTTGGGAATCAAAGTCACAGGGGTGGTTGCGGGGACGGATTCAGAGGCTGTTTAAATGTGGCAGAGAGAAATTCTGGGCACGAGCCAATCTTATTTCAAAAACCGACGTGAGGAACAAAACTCCATCCCCGCAAGTCCTCCTTTCTCTACAAGTATTTTCAAGGAGTTTTTCCAAGATGCTGGTCGTATTTGAAGATAATTACACCACCGATTTTGTCTTATGAAGGCTGAGAGTAACAGACTGTGCCTACGTGGAATGAACTGGCAACGAGCAAAAGCTTCTCCCAGGGAGAGCGGAAGTGGGTACGCTGTCAGTCTCCAACGTGGGCAAGGATGCTCTGAACAGACAGCAAAGCGTTCGGCCACGTGTAACTCACAACCTCCTCAACGCACAGTCGGTTACTGCAGGGGTATGAAGAAAGCGTTGACCACCTTTGTGCACTTTCTGGGGAAGATAACAGGGTTGCAAATGTTCGGAGGAAGGAGAGAGTTTCAATTCTGCTTTTACAAGGAAAGCAAATAAAAGTTCACACCAAGCTTCCGAACATCGGCAACACCGGGAGTGGCATTTAGACGAAAGTCCACAGTTGGTTTGATGCCAACCATTCATGATCACTCTTTTCAACACAGAGATAAACCCACAATGGAGACTGTAGCTCTGAACATATCCACGCTATACAGTTCTCCAGAAAAAAAAAAACACTTGAGCTGAATCTTTTTTTTTTATAGTGCCCAGTGTACAGTGGGCTGCCCATCAAGGTGCAGTGGACCTGACATTGGAGGTGCTGAGGCTTTATGAGGCTATGTGACTCGCCCGAGCTCCCTGAGCTGGCGCAGGTGTAGCCCTGCTCCACAGCCTGCTCATTTTACAGCTTCTCTCATCATTCTGGACCTTGTCAGCTCAGCTCAGTTACTAAGTGGCTTTTCAAAGCCTCTGGCCAAATCAGTTCTAAAACTATGCACCCTGGAATGGCACAGTAGGCTAACCCTTCACCTTTGGTGCCGGCATTCCATCTGGGCACCGGTTCATGTCCCTGCTGCTCCACTTCTGATCCAGCTCCCTGCATCTGGCCTGGAAAAGCAGCAAGGTCCTTGGGTCTCTGTCCCCTCCATGGGAGACCCAGAGGAAGTTCCTGGCCCCCTGACTTCTGAGCAAATCAGCTCTGGCTACTGTAGTCATTCAGAGGGGAACAGACTGTCTCTTTCTCTCTCTCTCTCTCTCTCTCTCTCTCTCTCACTCTCACTTTTCTTCTCCCTGTTACTCTACCTTTCACACAAAAATAAAATAAATCTTGCATACCTACATCATGGTCTTGGGTGATCATCCTGCAGTGATCCTGTTTCTTTTTTAAAAGAGGGACAGACGCAGGCCAACTTCCCCGTACTGATCAAAAGTCACAAAGTCCCAATCCCAGCTATGTTTCAAGAACGCAATTTACCCTTCCTCCGGCAAAGAGGGCTGCAGAGTCCTGCATTCCTTTGGCGTGAACACCACATCCAACTCATCATCCGTGAAGTCTCCCAGCTCCCGGGCCAGCTCAGCATCCAGGTTGTTGAGGTGTGTCATCAGAAGTCCTTCAAAGTCCACCGGCTCCACGGGGTCATAAAACTGAGGCTGCAAGAGGAAAACCAAGGCGAAGGAGTTTCCCACGCAGTCCGCCCCCCTCCAGTCCCAGCACCTTCCCTTTCCTTCCAACCTAGGCGCGTTACATGCAAGCGGCTCTTTGGAGGAGCTGTCAGACTCGGAAGCAGGGATACGGCCAGGAACAAGTCAGGACACACTGAGCAATTAAAATCACACCCCAAGGCGGAATTTTTTCTCCGCTTAATTGCATGGAGATGCGGAATCCTGAGGAGATCTGCAGTGAGATGGCACGGCTTTGCTGAATTTTTGGAATCTCTCCTGCAAAAGCTCTCCGAGGCCACGTTTTATTTACCCAAATATAAAGGGAGGGAGAGAACTAGAGAGAGATTTCCAGGAGCTCAGGCAAATTCAACACTGCTCTGGCTGAGTGTGTGGGCCAGTGTTGCCTTTGGCCTGAGGGGGGCGCTACACACTGGTTCCTGGAAGCACGCGGTACAGAATCACAGCTAACAGGGAGTCAGACTAGGGAGCTAAGACCCTCGGCGTTGGTGACTTCCAAATGCTGCTGGGATCACAGCTGCTGGCCTGGGTGCACTTGGCATTGGACTGCAGCTGCATGAGCAGATTCGGGGCAATCTGCTAAATTCTCTCCAAGTTTACTCATTGTTCCTGGCTCTTTCATTTTTAGCCTTCCACGGTGGCAGAGGGGACGGAACGAAGGAAATGAGAGAAACAGAGGGTAAGTTACAAAATTGTTTTTCGTTGGTCAATAAAAAAAGTTGGCAACCCGTCATCAGTCCCCAATGAGATCAATACACTGCCCATCTGTGAAACCAAAAGACAGGAAACATGCCTTAAGGAAATATGAGTTTCCTAGATAAACACTATCTGTATAGGAATATTCTTCTGCATTATTGCAATGGTATGGAGTGGCTACTTATGGCAGACTCCGTGTAAGGGGTACTGTTGTCCAGCTCCACCCCTCCTCCCATGGACCAACAGAAGAACATCCCAGAATCAGGAGACAAGGAGAAATGTGAAAGGAGCTGACAAAACCGGTTTTTCCAACCCTTGAAACCATACACCAGTATAGACTGCAAATTGCAGTGGGGCAACAAAGTGCTGTTGGAGAGCCCGAAGCAAATAAAACCCGAGAATGGAAACAGGGCTTGCTGGGTCCCCTCCCCCCCCTTTGCCAGCCCTGGCACAAATGACTCACATTAGGGAGCAAAGACGAAGCTGAGAACTAAGCGATCATCATTGGTTCCGCCCCCTGTCTGGGATGGCTGAAGGTGGCTGACTTACAATCACACCAGAAGAGAAGACAGCAGGAGGCTCTTCAGCAGCTGAGAGCAAAGCGAGATGGAAGGAGACCAGATCAGAGACGCTTGTCCTGGTTCTGACAGGCGGCCAGGAAGTTGGCCAAGAAGACCAACACGGTCCTAGTGTTTGGAATGAAAGAACAGGGAGCAGCAGGGAACAAGGCATCCAGGAAGCAGGTGGGATGTCAAGCCAGGCGGTGGTACTGTTGGACTCTGCCCAAGGTTACCATCTGTACGCAGACCAAGTCAGCCAGCCACAAACCCTGCAGTAATACCAACCATGGGGGAGGGGGGGCGGGAATACCAACCCCTACTTCCCTGCGACAACTAACAAGGCATTGATTGCGAAGAGAGAGATCAAAATGGCTTTGGGAAGAAATTAAGAAAACTGTAGGGGATTTGCATCCCCTCAGCTTTTTTTTTTTTTTTAATTTATCTTACAGAGAGACAAGGCAAACAGCGTCCCCCAAACCCACTGGCTTACTCCTCAGATGCATGCGTCAGCCAGGGCTGAGCCCCAGCCAAAGTCCGGAACCAGAAATCCAGTGAAATCTCCCACAGGGATGGCAGGAACTCAAGCACTGGAGTCCTCAGCTGCTGCCTTCTCGGTTCTGCATTGCCAGAAAGCTGGAGCGGAACCAGAACTGGGATTCCAATCCAGAACTAGGAAATGGGACACAAGCTTCCAATGACACCCGCAAACCTCATTACTGCACTGTCCATACCCAGTGCACTAATAACTACTGAGTACATCCTATGTGCCCAGAAACTGTACTCTGTTACCTCCTTAGTCCTCACTAGACTCATGTCAGGTATACATTCTTATGAACCCCATCTTAAAGCTGGGAAAACTGAGGGCTGGAAACTATAATTTGCCCATGATTACATAGTTGAGGAAAATCCCAAGTTCTTAGCCAGTATAATTTTGATTGTTTTCTCTTATAGATCCATTAGGAAATCTGCATTTGTCTGAAATAATTAAAATAGAAGACAATATTAAGTGCACTGGAAGGCAAGTCAAAAAATACGTTACTGCGGTCCAGCAAATCTGCTCTGAGCTGCTCACAAAACTGGTTTCTTAAAGTAATTACGGTGGGCCTAGCGTGGTAACTTAGTGCTAAATCCTTGGCTTGTATATGCCAGGATCCCACATGGGTGCCTGACAGTTCATATCCCAGCTGCTCCACTTCCCATCCGACTCCCTGCTTGTGGCCTGGGAAAGCAATAGAGGATGGCCCAAAACCTTAGGACCATGCATCCGCATGGGAGACCCTGAAGAAGCCGCTGGCTCCTGGCTTCAGATCAGTTCAGCTCCGGCCATTGTGGTCACTGGAGGGGAGTGAACCAGCAGATGGAAGATCTTTCTGTCCGTCTCTCCTCCTCTCTGTAAATCTGCCTTTCCAATAATAAATAAATAAAACTTAAAAAAAATAAAGTCGCGGTCAGTAAATCAATACAAGTAATGCTAGCTGTAGCTCCGTTACGAAGAATATCAACCAGGCAGAGGCTCTGAAATATACGCTGAAAAGTTACATCGAAGCATGGTGCCCTGAGCACCTGACATTCCTGTGTAAGTATCAGAGAGAACAAAATTGAGCTCCAACCACCCAAGCCAAGGCAGCTGGCAGGGGCACCTGCTACCCACAAGACGGACTGTCCACAGAGGGGAAGAAGAGGGTGACTGGCTCCCTTCTCCAGCTGCCTTGCTGAATCCAGAGTATAAGCTCTAGGGGAGCCCACTGCTGTGTTGGTACCCACTGGGTTCTCGCTCCGGAAGTCCCTGGCATTGAAAGACACCTCCCATCAACCGATGCAGGGCTCTCCACCACATCAAAGAAACAAGAGCTGGAGGCGGACTCGTTTTTCTAGGCCCCTCGTGGCCTAGAAGAGGCTCTGCCTTCCTGTTCCTACGCACAGCGACCTGCCAGCCATGCCACTGAGCAAAAAGCTGCCCTGTCCTTAGAGGCATCAGTCTGTATTTCCAGGGACGGTTCTGATCCCCCCACTGACACTCACTCTGAATGCAGGATGTCCTACATGCTTTCATTGGCCCTTCTGCTGTGAATTTGCATGAGCACCGCATTCAAGCTGCCTTTTCCCTTCTAGTGCAATGGAGGCAACCTAAAGAACAATTCAGCTCCTTGAAAGACAATAGAACAATGGAAGGTGGGGTGTAGCTTATCGATCCAGTGATTCATCAAGGTAGCCATTCTTAGCCATAGAGGTAAAAGGAAGCCTATATACTTAGCCAGAGCCAATGCTCTCCCAGGTGTGAGATTTTTTTTTTAACATCAATGTTCCATATACAAACACATCCTGTAACCATGGTGCGTCGATACACAACCAGGATGTGGGTTTTTTTGATTTCTTTTTTTTTTTTTTTTTTTAACCTTCCTTTCCTTCAGCAGAGTCATTTGGGTCCAGCTGTTTCATTCTATTTCATTGCTAAAAACCATCTATTGTTTTAAAATTGCTTTTAACGGTGTATTTATTTTACTTGAAAATTAAGAGTTACAGAGAGTGAAAGAGAGAAAGACACGCCCCTATTGGTCACATTGGCCAGTTAGAACAACCTAATGCCAGGAGCTTCTTGTGGTTCTCCCATGTTGGATGCAGGAGCCCAAGGTGCTGGAACATTCTCTCCTGCTTTCCCAGGCCCGAAGTAGGGAGCTGGATCAAAAGTGCAAATAGCCAAGACTCAAATTGGTCCATATGGAACGCTGCCACTGCGGAAGGAGGATTAACTTGGTATACTACCACGCTGGCCCTTGTTGCTGTTTTTTAAAATAGTATTTCACGTCCATGAAAAACTACAGCTTAACATTATTAACTAGGTACACACTGTTTCAAGTCCTCCGATCTTAAAGCATACATCCCAACCCTTTCTTGTCTCATTTCACTCGACAATTTCAACAATCAGAACATAGTTTTAGTATTTTACAGCTTCGTTTTAGCAGAAACATGGACTATTGAGAAAGTCACCAGCTAAAGCCACTCTCCCTGGCTCATCAAATACTTACTATGGTCATCATCATACTTGGAAAATACACTCTAAATGATGAATCTGTCACAGTCAAAATGACGAAGTTTAAAAAAATAGCTTATCCCGCTCATTTGCTTTGATGCGTTTGAAAGGCAGCATGCATGAGCAAGAGAGAAAAGAGATTTTCCAACTGCTAGTTCATTCATCAAATATCCAGAAAAGCCACGCCGGGACCAGGTCGAAGCCAGGAGCCCAGATTTCAATCAGGACCTCTTATGTAGATGACCGGGACTCCTGTACCTTAGCTAGTATCGGTTGCCTCCTGGTTCCCAGGGTATGTGTTAGACAGCCGCTGGAACTGGAAATGGAGACAGGACTAGAACTTTGAGATGGGATGTAGAACGTTCCCCTTACCCCAAGGGTGTCCTACCCACGGTGTCAAACACCCACCCCCTTTACTTACTTTACAAACACAGATACAAACAAGTATCATGGCTAACAAGCACAATTGAGTTCCAAACACACACAAAAAACAACAGCAAAAACCAGAGCAAGCACACACCCTTCCTCTCATTGGATCTGCCACATCTACGAGTGATGCTACTGTGTTTGGATAAGCAGATGCATACAGGGTTAACAAGCCATCTTCGCTTCTCACACACTCCGCAACTCAGAGCAGACAAGACAACAAGAGGAAATTTTCCTGTTCGTTATTTCCCACCTCCTACTTGCAATAGTTGTAACTATGTCAGTTCTCTAAGTGAGTCTCAGCCAGGGCCAGAGGTTGAAGATCCCAGGGAACATGAAAACGCTGGGTCCTCCTCCCCAGGGATTCTGCTGTTAACCGTTGTATGCTGGAACATTCTACAAGAGGCTTTCTACAAGTCCCGTGTGATCCTAACATGTGGTCCAAACTAGGAACCCTCTCTTGCAGGTCTTCCCAGCCGCCTCCATCCAACCCTTCGGTCACTTCCTGAATCCTCCTATTGTCTCTTTTGGGTAAATTTTTTTTTTTTTCTCAAGATGTTTGAGGATTTGGGTCTTGTTCCTTTTCGCTTCTGATCGCCTCCCACTAGTTAAAGCCAGTCTGTCATCTACCTTCCCAAACAGATCACACAGCTCGTGAAAGCTCCACCCTTCTTTCTTCATCGGTCCTTCACCTCTCCCACAGGGTCTCCACTGGGTCACACGCGTGTGTCAGCAATACTTATCTTTCTTTGCACAGGATCTATTACGCAATTCTATGTTGACCCACACCGGGCAGCACGATCGTCCCAACTTTGCAGAAAAAGGAAACCAAAGCTTTCAGAGACATTAGCCAACTTGTTCCAAGTTCATCAACAAATACGTGGGACTACAGCTCCCTCAGACCCACCTGACTCCAAGTTCATCTGTCATCAGCAACAAAAACACAAGTAACTGACCGACTTTGAAAATCAGTTGACCTCAATTAAATACATTTAAAAAAAAATGAATCGTTCGTGTCAGTAATTGTTGGAAATGGTGGCTGCATAAATAAAAAGAGAAACAAAGGCCAAAACACGTTCTGTTTATTTGGCAATTGGCCAGAATAATACCACGAACAGTCCCAGGCTTCTGAGGCTGCTGCAAGTGGCAAGGTCTTAGAGGACAGACAATTCCTCAGCCTGCTAGCGTGGATCTGGCTGGAAGATTTCACCATGTTTCCGTGAACAGAAATATTTTCTTCTAGATGATTCTTTTCGGGGGAAACTTCATTCAAGAGGATAACTCAAGGATAACAGTGGTCACTGCATTTTGATTAATAGTGGCTCACCAAAGGGTTGAAGGACCAGGAGACCAGATATTCTACGTAGATCATGCACAAAATAAAATAAAATAGAACCCAGACCACTGGGTCCCAGATACTTTCTGTTCTAGAAGGAACAGAAAGTGGAGGGACTATTTGGAGCTGAGTAGAGAGTTGAGGGAGAGATTCAGAAACCCAACTTGCAATAACCAAAAGTAACTTATTCTACAGGAAAACCAAGTGCAAATGGAACTAAGAGTAAATGATGACCTGTAAGAACAAATGACTAGTTTGTTTTCCCTGCACTCATGACATCTTCTCTTAGAAAATGGGCTGCTAAACCACGTGATCCTCATGACCCAGCTAAGGAAAAAATGGATCAAAATTCACTTTTTTTTTTTTTCAAAACGTACAGAAGAGGCAGCAAGCTATCAAAAGAAAATATGCAAGCTGTAAACCTTTTGGTTACTTTGTAACTTTACATTTTAAAAAAAAGCATTTCAGTAAAAAACCAACAAGTGCTCCTGTGGAGAGATGAAGATTGAAAACCCTAACGAAACTTCCCCAAAGTCGATCCCAAATCAAATTGACCCTAATTCCAAGACAGCCACTGCAGAAACCTGTGCCTTTAATCCCTTCCCCAAAACCACAAATACTTTCTATCCCACCTCATCTTAACTTCAACAAGTTACCTGTCACTTCATATTTTAGAATGCAACTTCAATAAGAAATGTTTAAAAAGGTTTTCAATGAAATACATCTCAGTACCCAATGAAACCAAGAAGCATATCTAGCTTATCTTGGTTTAAAGCTTACCTGCTACATTTGGACACACGCATATTATGCATTCAATATGCTTTTATGGTCACCTGCAATCTGGAAATGTGCAATTAACAAGGGCAGGCTAGCCAGCCATGGAAATCATCAATAAATTTGCCAAAGAAATGTCATTGCAAGTTCCGTCCTGTAGCATCTATCGTCTGGACTGCTGTTTCAGCAATGATACAACAGACACATCATCCTTCAAGGATACCCACACATCACTCCAGTAAAACATACCTTTCAAAGACACAGTGACCCGGCGTGTCAATTGTTACAGGGGACAAGATGGCGGTTACCGGAAACAGAGGAGAAGGTTACAAAACTTGTCAGAGCAGAAGTGGTTTTGAAGCAACAAGTAGAAACTCAAAAAAAAAAATAATCTAACCTCCTCCAGATAACCGCCAGAACGAGCCCGAAAGTGCTGCTGGACTGCGTGTGAGGAAGTGAACCCAGCGAAGGCCGGGGCTCGCTCAGAGAGGAAGTGCAGGTCATTTTTGGTTTTGTAAGCCATCTCATTGAGATCAGATCTAGCTCACCTGGCGCATTTGGTCCTCAAATAACACAGGATGCACATACAGTAACTGGAGTTCACGTACAGATAAATGCAGTCCAACTTTGTGCTAAAAAGGAGGGCAGTGTCTTAAAAAAAAAAAAAAGGCACATCGCTGGAGCAGAAACCGTGCTGATAAGGGGACTGGTGGCCGTCTTAGGTGGGACAAGGACGGGGGGCCTGGCAGAAAAGGGCCACTGGGAAGGGGCATGAGGGGATGCCTGTAGAATAAAGGGGGTGTTTCATGTCCTCATGGAGCAGAGGCAAGAAGGCTACAAATTAATATAATGCATCCAATTGTGCACCTGTAATGGATAACCTTAATCATATTTCATGTACACTTCCAAGAAAGTGACTTCCTAGGACAGATGTTTGCAGCCTGGCTTTTCGGATTTTTAAAATTTTTTGTTTCTTTGAAAGGCAGACTTACAGAGAAAAACAGATTGAGACAGCTCTTCCCTCTACTGACTCACTCCCCAAAATGGCTGCAATGGCTGACCCTGGGCCAGGCCAAAGGCAGGAGTCTGGAAATCCAGGTGGGTCTTTCTTGTGCGTGGCAGGGGTTCAAACACTTGGCCCACTTCCCACTGCTTTCTCAAGCCCTTAACGAGCAGCTGGACTGGAAGTGGACCAACCAGGACTCCAACCCATACTCCTAACTATCGCAGGTGGCAGTTTAATGTGCTACACCACAACACCGTTCGTAGCTTTGCAGATTTTTGGAATACCAAATGTTCCCAAATGGTCCACTTCCAGGCTGATCTCCACCCTAGCGCCACACACAAATAATCTGGGGTGAAGTGAGCAGCATGGAAACCTGCTAAGTCCAGTGTATCAGAACCTCAACCCTGAGAGGTCCCGTCTGCCCTCCACGCCCTGGTCAACAAAGCAGAGACAAATGGCTGCCAAAAAGTGGGCGAGCAGTAGTTGGAAAACACGAGATGACACACCAGGAAGCAAGCACCATGCACCAGCCAAGCAGAGCGGTCAGGCATACTCACTAGCTGAAGCGAAGGGAAGCCAGAGGCGCTTATGCTCTGTCGGTGGTACTGGCCAAGGTTTGGTGGGAGAGTGAACTGTTTCCTTACTTCGGCTGAAGAATACCTTGGATTAAAACAGGAAATAATCAGAGGGAAGCCATTATGTTAAATGATCAGTACCATTACATCTCTGAGATCATGTTAACAAAACAATTTCTTCACTGGACAACAGCAGAACGGACTAAATTGCTCTCGGAGGCCCATGGTGAGGTGTGTGTCGATCAGAAGCCCATGGTGGGGTGCTGTGCCCATCGGAAGCCAGGAGCCTGGCACCTCTTCTGGGTCTGCCATATGGGTGCAGGGTCCCAAGGCTTTGGGCTGTCCTCTGCTGCTTTCCCAGGTCCCAAGCAGGGAGCTGGATGGGAAGCGGAGCAGCTGGGATTAGAACTGGTGCCCATATGGGATCCCAGCATGTGCGAGGTGAGGATTTTAGTCACTAGACTACCACGCCGGCCGTTGGCACACTCTTGAGAACTGCTCAGAGATCAAAGCGCCTGCCACCTGCTCCACACTGGGCAAACGGTGGCAGGGGAAGGAAGAGTCTGGACCAGGGACTGATGACTCTTTGTTCCCAGGCCACACAGCGGGGACTGGCTCCATGTGAAGACACCTAGTGTGGGACAAGGGTTCCATAAGCCCTGAGCTACCATTTCCATCCAAGGAGCTAAGTCCTTCCGGCTCCTCTAACAGAGAACGCCAGAACACTGATTCAGACACTCTACTTTTGTGCAGGTGCTGCTAATATGACCTGGAATGCTCAAGGACTTGTTTTCGCCAACTTCTCCCAGCGGCATGAGCCCTTACAACACCCGTATTGACACTGCTCGGTGCTCAGTTAACTCAAGAGAGCCAAGAATCACAGACATTCGAGAAAGTTGTTTTGCACTCATACCTGTCATCCTGAGCCTACTGGCCAGCGACCCAGGCTTACAAACAGGCTGGCCGCTGGGTACTTATTTGCTAACCATCGCTTCGGAACTCAGTACGCATTTTTCCTATTACATCATTATGTTGGCGGTTGGACTGTAAGGTTGGTTTGTAAAAGTGTATTTAACCACAATGAGGCCACCGTATAAAAACACCATCACCACTAGCGAACATTATCAGAGAGCCTACTGAAGATCAAGTGACGTCATATACATGAAGCATACTATGAAACTCAAAGTCCTAACATGAATTTTAAACATAATTTTACTGATTTTTTTAAAGACCCATTTATTTGTTTGAAAAGCAGAGGGACAGGGAAGATGATACTCTTCCACCTGCTGGTTCATTGCCAGATGCCTCCAATGGTTGAGGCTGGACCAGCCACACAACAGTCTGGGACTTTGCTTTTCTTGCACATACGACAGGAACCCAAGTGCCTTACCAGTATGTGCATGGACAGGAAGCTAAGCCAGAAGTGGAAACATGGGGCCAGTGTGATTGCTCAAATGGCTAATCCTCCCTTTGCAAGCGCCAGCATCCTATGTGGGCGTCGGTTCGTGTCCCAGCTGCTCCATTTCCCATCCAGCTCCCTGCTTGTGGCCTGGGAAAGCAGTCAAGGATGGCCCAAAACCACGGGACCCTACACCCTCATGGCAGACCAGGAAGAAGCTCCTGGCTCCTGGCTTCGGATCAGCTCACCTCTGGCTGCTGCAGTCATTTGGGGACTAAACTGGCAGATAACAGGATCTCCCTCTGTCTCTATTCTCTGTAGTTACATCTTTCCAATAAAAATAAATAAATCTTTTTTTTTTAAAGATTTATTTTTACTATTTTTTCATTGGAAAGGCGGATATACAGAGAGGAGAGACAGAGAGGAAGATCTTCCGTCCAATGATTCACTCCCCAAGTGAGCGCAACGGGCCGATACCATGCCGATCCGAAGCCAGGAGCCTCTTCCGGGTCTCCCACGCGGGTACAGGTTCCCAAAGCCTTGGGCCGTCCTCGACTGCTTTCCCAGGCCACAGGCAGGGAGCTGGAAGGGAAGCAGGGCTGCCGGGATTAGGACCGGCGCCCATATGGGATCCCGGGCGTGCAAGGCGAGGACCTTTAACCACTTGCGCCACCGCGCCGGGCCCATAAATAAATCTTTAAAAAAAAAAAGAAGAAGCACAGGGGTTCAGTATCGTGATATAGTACATTAAGCTGATACTTGTGACACCAGCATCCCACTGAGATGCCTGTTGGAGTCCTGGCTCCTCGGGTTCTGATCCAGCTCCCCGCTAACGTCCCTGGGAAAGCAGCAGAGGATGGGCCTCCCCTGCCACCCGTAGCGGGCACCAAGATGGAGTTCTAGACCCCTGGCCTCCGCCTGTCCAGCCCTGGCTATTGCAGTGATCTGGGCAGTCAATCAGAAGATGGAAACTGTCTCTTAGGTTTTTCTCTCTCTTTGTCTTTTTTTCCTGTCTCTTCTCTCTGACTTTCAAATAAATACATAAGTAAATCTTAGAACAAATAGAGACACAATTCAATCGCATTCTCTCTAATAAAGAATGTGCCCATCGCATACGGTTCCACTATAATATCTACCTCCAAATCTATTACGAAGTAGGTCATAAATAAATTATCACATTAACAAATAACATTATAAATAAAGATTCTTATATTTTCTCCACGAATCACGTGTGCTAAGATATGACTATGCACTGCTTTGCATGACAAGCTTATAACAATTTTATTTATTTCTGTTTATTTTTTTATGATACACTTTCACAAGCTCAGGGATTTCCTCTCTCACTTTTCCCAGTTCCCTCCCCCTGCTAATTTCCCCTATATTATTATAATAATATAGCCCTTAAGTCACAGTCACAAGTCCATCATTCCACTATTTAAGTGTATCCTGGCATTGTAGGTATAGGCAATGGCAGAGAGTCCAGCATCTTATTGTCAGGATATATCTACTAGGTTATTGGGAGTCCATCTTTTACTCAAGGGTAGAGATGCACACTGCAATGTCTCTTCACTTCTCAATATGATGGTCTCTGTTATACAGTTCCTCTAGACTCATGTACGAGCTTGCATGTATATCTGTATATCTAATGATCTTATATTTTGCATGAAGGTTGCCATAGACCAGAGAGGACATATGATATTTGTCCTTTTGTGATCGGCTAGTTTCACTGAGCATAATGACCTGTAACTGGGACAGTTTTGTGGCAAGTGGCAGAATTTCTTTCTTTTTAATAATTGTTCCGTAGAGTGGATGTATCACAGTTTCTTTTATCTGTTCCTCTTTGGACAGGTATCTGGGTTGTTTCCATTCTCCACTAGGCCAGACTATGCTGCTGTAAATACAGGATTGTAAGTCACTCTCACGTGCAGATTTCATTTCCTTTGAATACATTCCCAGAAATGGGATAGCTGAGTCATATCCCAGATCAATTTTCAGTTGCCTTAGCACTCTCCATACTAACTTCCACAGTAGTTGTACTAACCTACACTCCCACTAAACATGAGGTAGAGTACCGTGTTCCCCACACCCATGGCAGCAGGTGTTATTAATAGAGTTCTGAATATAGGCCAGTCTCAACGGAGTTAGGTGGAGCGTCAATGTGGTTTCATTTGTATTTCCCCGATAGCTAGGGAGCCTGAGCATTTTTTCATATGTCTATCAGCCATTTGAATTTGTCCTTTTGAAAAATGCCTGTTCATTCCCGTTGCCCGTTTTTTCACAATAAGGGTCCAAACATTTTTCTTCCATGTTCGCATGTGTTCATTGGTCAGGACTCTGGGAAGGAAAGATGGCTGTCATGCCTTGGGGTATCTGCACACGCTTTGGATTTATAGTTCTGCTTTTGCAGCGTGCAGCATGAGTCTGGTCATCTTGCAAGCAAAATGATATGCCCTCTAGGAGTGGCACTACACGCCAGAGTTGGGGCTTCTCAGTCAATACAGTCATGTTAGAAACTTCGTCATGTGGACAAACCCACTGGTAGAGTGGGTTAACCCTCAGCCTAAGGTGCCAGCATCCCAAATGGGTGCCAGTTTGAGTCCTTGTAGAACACTACTTCCAACACAGCTCTCTGATTTCAGCCTGGGAACATAGCAGAGGATGACCCAAGTCCTTGGGACTCTGCACCCATATGGAAGACTTGGGGGAAAAAAAAAAAACCCAAAAACCTCTTGGTTCCTGACATCAGATTGGCCCAGTTGGGGCCATTGCAGCCATTTGGAGCATGAATCAGTGGATGGAAGAGCTCTCTGTCTATCCTTCTCTCTTTCAGATTAATTAAAAAAAAAAAAAAACAGAAAGAAAGAAATCTGGAAATAATACAGGGGAAAAAATCTGGTCTCCAGCAAACGCTGTTGGGACAATTGGATAGCAGCAAGTAGCAAGATTCGCACCTTTCACGTTATACAAAAATTAGTTCTTAATGGTTCAAGGACCTAAATCTGTCCCCAGAAACCATCAAACTATTAAAAGAAGACGTAGGAAGCACTCTGCAAGATCTAGGCATTGGGAAAGACTGCTTAGAAACGTCACCCAAAGCACAGGCAGTCAAAGGCAACATAAACAAATGAAACTCCATCAAACGAAGAAATGAGCAACAAAGAGAAGAATCCACCAACAGGATGGGAGAAAATCTTTGCACAGTGCCAACCAATAGGGGATGACTATCCAAGATGGACCAAGAACTTAAGAAACTTCATGGAAAGATAAAACAAGCCCGGCAGGGAGATGCAGCCAGCTGTGAAAACCCAGGGGAAGTCTTCACAGCTGGCACGAACCACACTAACCCAGGTTTCCTCCAGAATTGTCTTCCTTTCAAGTATAAGAAAAGCACGGGGTAAGAAGTTTTCTGTCATCAGGCAAATGTGACTCCCATGACAAGGGAATATTAGCTCACAGCCGGGGTAGCCATTAACAAAAAGAGAAGGACCATCACAGGAGCTGGCAAGGCTGTAGAGGCCTGGAGCACGGGCGTGTGACATAGCGTAGTCATTCTGGAAAGCGAACTGACATTTCTGTAAAAATTTCAGCCCAGAAAACCCACAGGTTCCCAGCAGTTTCACCCATAGACAGAGAACCCAGGAGAAGTGAAAACTCCTACACAAAAATGTACAGCTGTGTGTCCATCA